ATATTTATTTATTTGCATCATAAACTCTGGGCTTACCAGTTACTTGCAATTACTATAAGTACACTACGCAACTTCATGGTTAGAAAATATACATCAGAACAGTTAGTCTATAAAGCTTCTTGGTCATCAGCTAATTTATTATCTAGATACTTAAGTAAACTAAACATACATATAATATAGGAAAATAATAGCCCAAAGATATAGAAAAGTATAAACAAATAGAATACCTACCTTGGACTAGGAACATTAAAGCTTACGATTTTTCATACATGGTTCTGATACGTATGTTTTTCGTTACTTAATGACAGAAACTCAACAATAAGAAAACTTACTAAATAAATTATAAAATCTCATTGAAGTACTTATAACTAAAGCAGTTCTCTTCAATAATGTATCGATGATATAAGAAACGTGTTCATAGAATCTGAACTAGATACTCCCTTGTGGCTGGTTTGCACTAAACAAAGAGACGTAACAAGAGCGAGCAGTGTGAATTTCTCCAGAGAGCTCAGCATTATTAGGTACTAGGCTGAAGATTGTGATCGCCCGGCTGTGAGCCGTAAGCGTCCCAGCACGACCAGACACTATCCGAAAGGAACGTCGAGATATTTTATTCATAGAGCGAGTGATAAATGAGGAAGGTCGCGCTTGTATCACATTCATTACTGCCTTGCATCTTGCCACGCACACTCTTATCAAAACTTGTTGCCGCCGTGAGCTCTTCTATACTCTGATCACTTGGACCTCGCCGCCACCTCAGGGACTTGTTTCAAACACCATTTGTCGTTCGTAAACAGCTAAACAGCTTATAATTCATTCTGACCATGGCTTTGTTAGTTTTATTTATGATTTGCGAATGCCTCATTCGTAATACAAAGTCGATAAATTATTACTGGGTGTAATTATCATTGGAATGTTAAATTTATTTGGCTTGCAGTCGCGTCAAACTTTTGAAAAATTGGGTGCTTATTACCTAAATCAACAAATAAATCAAAGTTTTCCAGTCGAGTCTCTGTGCATTAAAATTCTCGGAAAGGTAAATACATAGTTACGTCTTACGACATAATCATTAGTTAATTTAGTATGTATATCTTAGGAGATGTTTAGATACGATTTTTTTTACATTTCACTTATACGACTTATAAGTAAAACGTGAAACAATCGCTACGCTAAAGACTGGCACCTCATGAGATTCACAATCTGTTTTATTGAAAGTACATCTTTATCTTGCGTTTCAGTGCAAGCATCCTTAAATACAGGTATCACGTTTGTTATAGACTGACCAAAAATGTAGTTGGGTAATCTACGAGCCTGGTACAAGTCACAAAACTGGTTATCTCGACAGCGTTGCAACGCCAACAACGCTAAAATATAATATTTACTATAATATTCTAACAAAATATGTTATCCCAGTAAGTACACATAATTCCGTGACAAGTCACGATAACAAAGTTTTCAAGGAACGGTTAACAATCGTTCAATTTGTAGTGCCTGGGGCTGAGAACCCTGACAATGGCTGTGCACGCGACCACTACGACTCGACATTCTCATGAGTAGAATAACGCACAACAATCAAGATGTCATTTTTCAACTACCCACGCCGCGAACACACCACGGAGTAATCGAACAGTAAGAAATATGGCCGACAACACACGCACAACCGACGTACAAAAGAGGCGTCTCGGGGATGTCGCGATACATATCTTTTGACTGAACAACGGACGCCAGTTCACTCCTTTCCTTTTTATATTTTACGCGTAATCGACAAACATAAATGAAATCTAAACAAATGCTATATTATTCAGAAAGTGACAGCGACAACCTGACGCTAACTCAGAAGAATACATTATGCAAATTCGGGTAACGAATAGTAGACAAGCGACATTATTTAGTTAGCAAACACAATTTCTGATTTTACTTATCCAACTTATAATATTAAACTTGAGCAAGCGAAGCGAGTGTCTTACTCGAATGCGCGTAAAGTAGCTAAGTACTGGGCTCGCATTTTCTGCAACGGCCATTATGACAATTCACAGAAGGCAGATATAGTAATTTATCGGCTGTAGAGATGGAAATTTGCGGCCAGAAATGATAATAATTACTGACACGAACCGACGCTTGGGGCTAAAATCCGCCATCCGCTACTAAAGATCAGAACCGACCACTAACTCGAAAATTCCACATTCATAACGGGGCAAGCCCTTGGGCACGAACCACACTCGCGAAAGAATCGATGTTCACAGAGACAAATTTTGTGAACAAAACGATTTAATTCAAGTATCAGGTTTTATTTATGACGTAGCTTGTATATTTTATAAAGCAATAGTATCAACAAAATAAGTGCTGTATTTGCCACCAAGGCATAAAATATGTAAGTACATTTAATGTATAAAGCGAGGCGAATAAAATATGCAGCTACATACAAAACCCATATAAGCCCAGCAGATTCACCGTTGCTCAGATAGCATGGCTGGCCTAAGTGGAAACAAATAACACACCGAGGTAAAACTACCCTTATAGGGACAGCTATTGCTATTCGGTAGCATCTTTTGTGTGTGATACAATGGCGCATCGATCGTGCTGGATTGCACGGAAACGTTCAGTAAAACGCTAACGAGTGCCGTGGCAGCGGCTAATTGAAGTTATTGCCATCGCAGGCCCGACGCCCGAATGCCCTGGTGATTAGCGGTGGAAACCATCCTAATGGAGTGTTTCTTTATCGATGCCGTTTGTCACTTCATCGGTCAAATAATCTCGACTCTATGGGTTGATTGATCGCTTTTATGTTATGGGAAAATATTCATAGTTGGCCCAACATATTATTGGGGAATTTTTTCATAGTTTATTATTTACAAAGTAGATATTGGATAATGGATAAGTTATCAACCCATCAAAGTTGGAAAAAGTGGGCTGTTTTTTTTTGTAATTAAAAAATGCAGGTTTGTAGGCCGTGGATAAAAGCTACTATGGCTAACAATGTCTATTGTAAACAAATATAATTTTACCACGAGCACTAAGTAACTGGTTCCACGCCTGTCAATAAAATGCGGAAAGGCGAGACTGTTACACAAGTATAAGAGTTCCATGACAGAAACGAGTACTTGCAAAACAAATTAATTCACTCACAAATGTGCATTCCAAAAAGTATTACAATCTAATGTTTAACTTTCATTCCCTTTCGTGACTGACAATGTGTATAGATCCAACTAGGTTAGGATCAGCGCTAAATCTTATACCCTAGAATTTGTCCCGTGTTTACACGCTAGTTAGCACATTAATTAAAGTACATATATGGAGTAACTACCAACGAAACAATGTAACCAAGAATTGTATTGTGAACCTGATTGAAAAAATAACCTATGGAGTTTCTTGCTCGTCATTCTCCATAGAAGTCTACACTTTGGAATGAGCAAATAGCTTCACTAGAGGACTGACATTTTTAATCTAATGTACTATTAATATATAAAGCTGAATCGTTTGTTTGTGTGAACGCGCTGATCTCTGAAACTACTGGTTCAATTTAAAAAAATGAAAAATATGTTTGTTTTGGATAGTCCATCTATTAGGGAAGGCTATATAACATAACGCTACGACCAATAGGATCTGAGTAGAGCGGGCAAGACCGCGCAGACATAGCTAGTTAAGGTATTTGGAGCAACTATTACTAATAATAGCTAGTTGTCCGTAAATGTAACGTTATTTGGTACAGAAAAGAAAATTAATATTTGACAATGGGTTGTGTAAAGACAAGCTGTTTTTGAACCGAACACCGATATATAATAAGATATAAGTAAGACGAAACATTTGTAAAATATAGCTAGTAAGCTAATTAATGTTAATGTTAGTAAGTTTAAACAGCAATAAAGGCAAATTTGTAATTTATTTTATATACAAATAGTCTTCACTTTTTATAATTAAAAATGTTGTGCACGATTTCAATCTGTCGTTATGGAATAAAATAAAAAAATACCTGAACTGATCTCCATCAGGCACCATCCACTAGCTATGGACTACTTATATCACTTTATAACACTATACTTTGTTATTTCTAGTTTTTATTTACTTATCAGAAGTTCTTGTTAAATAATAACTAATTCTCAATTTGTGAACCTCATATCATTCATATCAAAATCATTAGATATGACATTTATGTCAGCTTAACAAAGGCGACATGTGTTCACAGCTCAATTAAATTAAACAAATAAATAATGTGTTTTCAATAGGCACTCTTACTTTTTTTTTCTTCTTTAGCAACAGAGTCTTCAAAACGGTGTTGTCGACTATACTGCCAGTGTCTAGTGGTGACGGCAAAATACTCTAACTTTTAAACCACCGAATATAATTATTACCATAGAATAAAAATACGATGTCAAAACAAGGTATTACATAATTATTATGCCAATACCTATGAAATTGCCATTCCGCAGTACTGGCCATTTCAGATCCAAATTATTTTTCGTTTGGCTAAGAATTCTAATTTCAAATAAATTTATTCTTCTGCGTCAATCAACTGCCACTGCGTTGGCAAAGATGCATTGATGGCATGGGTAATTACTTCGATTAATACAAATAAAAAGAACATAAAAAACGTTTAATTTTTTTCACACAAAACAGCATATTCATAAAAAGGTAAAGATTTATTATTATGTCAATTAAAAACGGGGACGTAACGATAATTTTGCACTTTCCCGCCAAAAAATAAAAAAGGTTTCAGAGTCAACAACTAAATTGTCTACAAACAATAACAAACATTTTTATCTTTCATTTCTGACACCTTAGCAACAAACTAGTCGAGTTGTCTTCTAAAAAAGTTAGGTCTGTAAGCCGTTAAACATACTTAATAATTAATTTCCTTTCTTTTCACGAGTAGGGAAAAGTGAGCAAACAGATTACATGATGGTCAGCGACCAGCGCCGCCCATAGACACCCGCAACATCATACGAGATCCCAAATTACAAGTGCGTTGCCATCTTTTATTTTACATTACATGTTCAACATACCTGTTAAATGATTCCCAGTGAACTCGAAATCGTCGTCCTGATCCCAATGTTTGAGCGACAAGTTCCCCAACGGTGTTGCGTTCGCGAACTCCAAATTAGCGAAGTGCCAATCCAGTATTTGTCTGTCACGCACCGACAAATACACTGAACTAAAATATAAATTATTTTTGTTATAAATAGGGTAGTGTACAAAAATTTATATTATATTGATTGGAAATATCACGTGACAAATTATAGGGTAGCGTGACGTAGCGACCCATTCCTAAACTTAACTCCGTTTTATCTAAGCATTGTTTTCTTATACGACAAAATAAAAAATGTGTGTATTAGACACATATATTTCCATTATCTAACTGACGGACTAAATACATTTTTAATTTTCACTGTCCCCTACCCTATTGTATAGAGTAATCAGCTCATTAGAGAAGTCTTTACTAGCTGAGGATGAAAAGGGTGTGATGATGAAGAGGCAGTGTTAGTTATCAAGAAAGATTTGGAAGGAGTTCGCCGACGCTGCTTTATCAAATATGGGGTCTTTTAGTTAGCTCTTACGATAGCAGCGGGAAGAATGGTGGTTAAAAATGTACCTTATTCTATCAACTACACCACTTTCCTTAAACAAAAATAATTTTTTTTTGACATTTCAATACAATAAAATATTAAAAAGTAAATTACACTTTCATTAATTGATATTTTGATCAACTTCATTTCAGTATTTTTCCAGCAAATTTTTAAGAAATAAGTATGCTGTTTGACGGTAAAAAAGTGACGTCACAATACACAATCTCGTACAAAATTCATAGAAAAATGTCGTTTTTGACAGTTCGAAAAAAGTATTGAATTTGACTAGTTGGCAAGTAGGTACCCAATTTAGCTTTGATTAAGTGTGTCGACTCATAATTAAATCTAAATTTTATGTATCACTTATATTTAAAATATGTACATACCTTGGCGGATTTGTTTCCAGCTGTGCCAACTTTTCCTCAATAGAAGCATTAGTTGAAACCAAGGTCTCATACTCATTGCATAGCAAATTCATTTCTCTATTGAGGCGTCTATAATTAAATTCTTGCAAGATGCTCGCGTCTCCAGTCGCACCTTTTTCTCTCTCTACGATCAAAGCATCTTTCTCGGCCTTCATTGAATGCAAGAGCTCTTTTATATCCGACATTCTGAAAAAAGATTTTGATATAAATTTCTCTCCTTTTTAAAACATAAAGAGAGTCTAACCTCTTCTTGATTTTTTGATAGATATAACTACTAAAAATTTTGCACGAAGCTTGCCTATAACAAAATTCATAACCATGTAGCCAACTACTGACAGGTACGAACTCTCATTCTTATTACCATGCAAAAATTTACTTGATATATTTTTTTTTAAACTATAAGTTTTGATTAATTTACTAGGTACTTACTTGTTTATATTCGACTTGAGTCTCTCTTGCAATGTTATTACAGCCTTTAGATGTTGGACCTAGAAAAAATTAAATCCTGATCACTGTGGTCAATTTACTACTTATGTCGTCGAATCGTGCGATATACATATTCGATGTTGCGCAACGTTTCCCAAAAGTAGTTTTAAAAAGCCCTCAGCCCTCCTATATTATATATTAGTTAAAAAAATGTATGTTTGTATTTAATGGTTGTATTGTGATTTTCTATCTAAAATATATAAATAAATAGTAAATTATTGATAAACTTGTACATGAAAAGTGTATTATATACATCGGGTCGTGATAGTGATTATAAAAATATATTTAAAGGTGAAATACAAGTGCCCTGTCTGTTGCATACTTTGAACTTACCTTTGTGTCGTCTTAAAATAGAAAGTGCAGTGAGTTAGGCACTGGTGGCCCCAATTTCTTGCACCACAACTTCAACTAAGTATCTATTGGTTTTGGATTTTGATCAATAAGTACAGCTACCACTACGCGTATTAGCTTTCTATGGGCATGGGCGGCGTGGAGGCGCGGCGCGGCGCAACGGCGGCGTGGCGCGGCGCCCTACGTCGCCGGCGTGTGACCAGCGGTCGACTTTTTTATTATTTTATTTTATTTCTTTACTTTTATATTTAATTATCTGTAAGTTTTTTCTTATTTAGTATATTAAGTGAATTTTCTTTATCTTTTTGGTCTATGTCAAGCACAACAGCGAGTGCGGACTGTGGTGTATTCGGTAGTCACCCTTCGGCGTCGCAGCTTTCTTTGGAAAGATGCCCGCTATGTTCCCAGGCTCGCTATTTTAAAGGTAAGCGAGGGCTGAATGTACACATTGGACGTGTTCACAAATCTCAAAGTACATTCAGCCCCGTTACCGATACTACTCCTCTTATTTCGACAGATCCCTTTTGGAAAAGATTATCAAAATTTAAAAAATCTATCCCTGTACTTAAACGAGTTCCCCGTGGTGCCAGACCTTTAGTTGCGCAACAGTTAGCAAATTGTGTCCGTCTGGCAGCACAGGAGAACTCGTTACGCGCCTGGGAACAACTCCTCACCTTCCCTTACCAAATCTTACATGTTAAAAAGAATTTGGCTTTTCAAAATTCCTTAACAAAACAAATCAAAGAAAATTGCATTTCGGCTTCCCAATTCGACCCAAAATTACCGGCTTGCAGTTATGCCTCAACCAAAACTTTAGCTGATTTAGTTGAGACCAAAATAGGTGAAGGTGATATTAGCGGCGCAGCCAGAATTATTTTTAGCAATGACGTACTGGCTCCATGTTCTCCAGATACACTTAAAGCTCTGGAGAGCAAACACCCGGCCCCAGTAGATGGTCTCTCTTTTCCGGATCCTCCAGAAGCAGATATTCATACCCTATCTGTTACAGGTCGACAAGTGGTCACTGCCATAGGCTCCTTCCGGAGCGGTTCTGCCGGAGGCCTCGACGGTTTGACGCCGCAGCATCTCAAAGATCTGACGAGCTCAAGCGCCGGGGAGTCCGGCGTGACGCTGCTGAAGGAGCTTACGGTTTTGATCAATCTTATGCTCTCCGGCAATGTGCACGAATCCGTCATCGACGTTTTGTATGGGGCCAATCTATGTGCCCTACGCAAGAAGGATGGCGGTATTCGTCCCATTGCCGTGGGAACAACTTATCGTCGCATGGCAGCCAAGATTTGTTGCAAATTTTATAATAATCTTCTTTCGGAAAAATTCCAGCCCCTTCAACTCGGGTATGGATCTAGAGGGGGCTGCGAGGCTGCCGTGCATGCGTTGTCGACCTACCTGAATTCCAGGAAAGGTGATATCATCCTGAAGGTTGACATTAAGAATGCTTTTAATTCGGTCAATAGGGATACTCTGTTGACAGAAGTTAAAAAGGAAGTACCCCAAATTTTTAGTTTTCTCTGGCAATGTTATAGACACCCTACAAAATTATTATATCAGGACAACCTTTTGGAATCAGCCGTTGGCTGTCAACAAGGCGATCCCCTTGGGCCAGTGATTTTTAGCCTGGCCATTAATCCTATTATACGACAGCTAAATTCTAAATTTAATGTGTGGTACCTCGATGACGGTACCCTGGGAGGCGATGCAGATACAGTTTTAAATGATTTCCAATTTTTAAAAAACGAACTTCATGCTATTGGCCTTGACCTAAATTATTCCAAGTGTGAGATATTTTTACATGACTCTACCGACAGACAGATCATATCAAAATTTACTACTTTTGCGCCTAATATCTCGGTTGTCGATAAATGTTCGCTTCGCCTCCTAGGTGCGCCCGTCTTCGAGGACTCTTTTCAAAGTTTTATTGATGAAAAAATTCAAAATTTTTCTGTCGTTTCAGAAAGACTGTATCACATTAGAATGCATTCGGCCTATACTATTATTCGTTTTTGTTGTTTTGGTCCCAAATTTATGTATTTTTTGCGCTCGACCCACCTCTGGTCTGCACCCCTTCTTTTAGAAAAAATTGACCGAAACATTAGACAAACTTTATCCTTAATTTTGAATGTGGCTCTCGACGACCGAGCCTGGACACAAGCTACTCTGCCTGTCCGCATGGGTGGGCTTGGCGTCCGTAAAATTTCCAGTGTAAGCCTACCAGCTTTCATATCTTCCGCCCATGGTACTGAAGAATTAACCAGGAAAATTCTTTCTCAATCACTGGTTAATTTTGATGTACCATTTTTAGTGGAAGCTGTGAAAGCTTGGAAAATCGCTTGCCCAAATATTGACCCCCCCGTCAAATCACTCTCCCAGAGACAATGGGACGAGCCGCTCTGCAGGAAAGTGAGCGAAAATCTATTGAACTCCGCTTGTTCAACTGCAGAGCGAGCTCGCCTTTTGGCTGTGGGTGAGTGGGAGTCAGGGTTATGGCTTCTTGCTTTGCCTTCGTCCAACTTAGGTACTTTGTTGGACGACACCACATTCCGCGCTGCAATTTGTTTAAGGCTTGGGGCTTCATTTTGTTCACCTCATCGTTGTCGTTGTGGTGAAGATGTCAACAGCCTTGGACACCACGGCTTGTCGTGTAGCCGTAGTGCGGGTCGTTTTGCTCGACACGCGAGTATTAATGACATAATTCGTCGAGCTCTTGTCTCCGTTGGCGTGCCAGCTACTTTAGAACCTAATGGCTTGGTACGCAACGATGGCAAGAGACCCGACGGTATGTCATTATTCCCTTGGAAGATGGGTAGGCCTTTAGTATGGGACGCCACTTGCGTTGATACTCTGGCGCCATCCCATCTTCCAAACTCAGCGTGTCGAGCCGGTGCTGCCGCTGCTGCTGCCGAGAACCTCAAACGGCGAAAGTATGATAGCCTGATTGGCAATTATGCTTTCGAACCGTTTGGGGTTGAAACTTTAGGGCCGTGGGGCCCAAGTGCACATCTTCTTTACAAAGATATTGTAAAGAGGATGGTTGACACTTCAGGTGATCGAAGGGCTGGCTTCTACCTTGGACAAAGGTTAAGCATTGCCATTCAACGTGGTAATGCTGCCAGTCTTTTGGGCACCCTACCTCACGATAATGATGAGGAAAATTTTTTTTTTGATGCCTTATTATAGCTTATTTATTTATTATTACCTTTTTTTTAAGGTGTAAATATTTTAGTTCATAGTTATTTATATTTTAAGTTGTATATATTTTCATTTAGTTATAGTTAATATTAATTGTATATATAATAAGTATGTATTTTCAAATAAATTAAATCAAATACTGTATGTAGGTGTTAAAAAAATTACAACTCTAATGAGGACTACCGTTTTTGCTCACCAGACGGCGCTAATGAATCATAAGCATTCGTCTGATAGATTATTTTAAAATATTTGACACGTATTTTTTATTTACTTACGGAAACACATACTTTCAACGATATATTGATTTGAAATGTCGCGTGACGTCACTTTTGAGTATTATATTCTAAAGTGACATAGCTAGCTCCCACTCGTAAACTTTGAATCGTTTTATCTAAGTATTGTTTTCCTATAAGAAAATAAAAAAATATGTGTCTATTCTTCATTATCTAACTGACAGACTAATTAGATTTTTAATGTTCATACCCTGTCATTAACCTTATTTTCTATTGTTTAAACAGAACTTATGCTACATTAACGCTATTAAAAAATAAAAAAACAGTGTTACAGTAACTGAATGTAAGTCTAATACCTGTTTATGTTTAACATTCTTCTGCTGAAGTTTGATGACCCATTCCAATGCTTGTCCGAGAGAGACAGGCGTATCGTTGTAGTAATTGAAATCAACTTGATGAGAGAGATAGGACGTAGCATCTAGAAGGCGGTTGAATTCACGCTCCACCTAGAAAAATAAAAGCATCACTGTCAATAGTAATCCTGGCGAGATAGGTGTCAAACGTCGGCCCATCAAATATAAAAAAAATCATTAAAGAAGGTAAATCCGATAGATCCGATTGAGAATCTAAGTTAGCAACATAAGCAGACTGAATAGTGTGGAATTAACACTTTTGTCCCAAAACCGATATCGTAAAGCTACCGTCATGTTATCATGGACTGTGCAACAATTAGACTGTTCATTACAAGAATATAGACAGGCACAGAAATAAGTGATTTCATAATAAACTGCAACAAACATGATACCTAAAAGTTTTTCTTACCATTTCATCCTTATGCTTAGGAACCTGATTCCCTGTAGCTTCATACAGAGGACACTTCTGCTTGATCTTATGCAATTCCATATTCATTTGGACCGACAGAGTTGTTACTGGGTTGCCACCCAAACCAGTCACCACCATAGCACCTGGAAACAGTGAAAGAAGAACCATTTAGGAAATTAAATACTTCAGTTCTATTCTATTATCGGCCCTTCTTCAATATATTGACCAGATTGGCGATATATAGTACTAAAAAAGGGCCAAATTAAAAGTACCCTTAACCGGTGAGCATGCATGAAAAGATTGATGACTGTTGATGAAGGGAAATAGGTACCTATGTAAGAATTGTAGCAATTGGCGTTTCATAGTCTCTGCCTACCCCCATGGGAGACAGGCGTGAGTTATATATGTTCTATTCTAATAAATATTAGAAGAATATTGAATGTCTGTATTACTTATACTATACAAATTAATATTTGACTGCACGGTTGGTGCGGTGGCTGGGCAACCGGCTGCCGTGCAACGTGTCGTGGGTTCGATTCCCGCACGGGACAACACTTTGTGTGATCCACAAATTGTTGTTCCGGGTCTGGGGGTCATTGTGTATGTGAACTTGTATGTTTGTAAACGCACCCACGACACAGGAGAAAATCCTAGTGTGGGGCAACGTTTTAAAAAAAAAAAAAAAAAAAATTTACATGGGAATTTCGATATTTCTAAATATTTACAGGAAGGATAGGATAAGTCCTAATCCTTCTTCCTGCCCTAACTGCTCTTATTATTTGAGGGCTTTGAGGCTACATAGGTACATATCTACTTTTTATATTATGATATTACATGTTATCAAAATATACAATCTCTTCTCATTCATATCATGCTCCATCGTAGACCGCATTATTGTTTACCACCAGATGAGATAGTGCTCAAATGTCAGCCCATCAAATATAAAAAAATGATTTTCTAAACTCAAAAATGATCTAACTGTAGTCAGTTAATCATAAGACTTTGTTTTTAAGGGGGAAAATCATCGAATGACTGCTCCCGCCTGGGTGAGGCGGGAGGGAGTGTCAGACTCTTACTGACTAAAAACCACCCCGTTCCTTCTCCTGCACGTCGAG